GATATAATTTTTCTTTTAATTGGTGTTGTTATTCATTATAACAAAAATACGTCTTCAAAAACTGAAAAATCTCTCGCACACATAAAACTTAAACATAAATATAATTTTAGATAATATTGATTGATGTTATAGTGAATTACATAACAGTCGCATTTTTATGAAATTGTACTACAAAACTACTCTTTTTTTGGTTTTCTATAAAATTTTACATTTTATTTTAGCTTCGATGCGAAGCTGAGAAGGTATTGGTTTTACTAAGATGTGTTTTTTTTTTTTACCATTTTTTCTCAGCTCTCACCGAACCGATTTCTTTTCTATAATACGTCAAAAGATCATAAATCGTATCTAGTCGAAGTCATTAACCTCATAAAATTAAAAAAAAATTACCTGGTTCCCTGTTAATGGAGGAAACCTCCAAATTACAAATTTAAAAAACGCTATTTTTCGAAATATTTTCAATTTTTTATACTTAAAATTGCTATAACTATTTTAAAAATAACCAAATCAATATAATTTTTTTTATATAGATGCATGATATTATTACCTTTCATTTGGTATATTTTTTTTTTATACGTGACCCTTTACTTGCCCACAGGGGGGATTTAAAATGACATTTTTTTTACAAAAAATTAACTTTTTCAACTTAACTTTTGAAAGTGTTCCAGAAAGTCTGAAACCTTTTATATATATTTTAAATTAAAGCTAATATAATGTATTTTATTATGAAAAAAAAAAAATTTCGGACTTTATTTTATCTTCACGGTGAAATAGGATACCGAATGCTATTTTTGTATGAAAATTTTCGACTTTGTAATTTACATTTTTAATTTTATTATGCTATAACTATTTGAAAAATGTATAGATCAATACAATTTTTCATGAGAAGTAGTATTTATCGGACTATTTGCCTATATTTGAGGGGGTTCAAATCTAAAAAATGCATGTAGAAAGTAGAACTTTTTCAACTTAACTTTTGAAAGTGTTCCGGAAAGACTGACACTTTTATATATATCTTAAATTAAAGTTAATGTAATATACTTTATTATGGTAAAAAAAAATTTCGGACTTTATTTTATCTTCATGGTGAAAACAGACTACAAAGTTAATAAAAAAAATACAATATTTGTAAAAAAATTCTTTTTTTTATTTTTAACTTTATAATGCTATAACTATTTGAAAGATGTATGGATCAATATAATTATTTTTTTTATAGATGCATGATGTCTTTACCTATCATTTAGTATATTATTTTTTCATATCTGACCCTTTATCTGTCCACAGGGGGGGATTTAATATGACAACTTTTTCACAAAAAATTTACTTATTCAACTTAAATTTTGAAAGTGTTCCTGAAAGTCTGACACTTTTATATATATCTTAAATTAAAGCTAATGTAATATATTTTAATTTAAAAAAAAAAAATTGATCTCTGGAATTGTCTTCATGGTGAAAATGACTACCATATGCAAAAATATGCTATTTTCGTATGAAAATTCTCGATTTTATTTTTCACACTTTTAACTTTATAATGCTATAACATATTGAAAAGTGTATGGATCAACACAATTTTTTTATGAGAAATAATATTTTTTAATAATCCCTTTTTAATTCGATATACTTTATCTTAATCAGGATATTAATAAGGAAATAGCAGATCATGTAGCTTTTGGAATAATCCACCAATTGTTTAAAATTAAACACTATCTAAATATTTGCATCAAAGCGTTTTTTTTTTTATAGTGATGTTAATCACTGTCAGATATCATTATACTTGATCCAACTATGCCATGTTACCAATGTGCTGCGACCGCCCTGTGCTGGGTTTTTTTAATTTGAAATTTGTTTCCGTGGTAATTAAATAAATAATGCCTGTTTATTGTTACATAACTCCCCTTATCAGAGCTCTTGCTTGTTTAAAATATACCAGCTAATAATTTAAAATAAAATTAAAATAAAGTAAGATAAAAAAAGGCAAATTAATCTTTAATTAAAAAAAGTTTAACTGAAAAAGACATACGAAGGTTATATTTCAAAAATTGTGTAAATAGTCAAATTTTGTTTATTAAACAAACATTTTTTCAAGTACATTGTGAGTCAATATTGTTTATGATTTATTTATTTGTTAATGAAAAATTATATTTTTCTGTTATAAAATTAGGAATAATATTATAGACCTAAATAATAAGTTCTATATATAAAATTAATTTCGCAGTAGACTTAACGATGATAATTATTTTAAAATATCATTTAATTTTATGCATATAATAAGGTTTTCTAAGACAAGGCAATCCATTTATCATAACCCACTAAATTATTTACAAAATATTAAAAGAAATCTTAAAGCTTGTTTAATGTTACCATTGATTAAATAATATAATAATATTTGTTATTTTTAAACTTTTTTATACTTTGAGAAAAAAAAATTATTTTATGGTAATACAGTGGTGACGTGGCATAGTTGGGACAAGAATAGATGATATCTATTTGTAAGCTAATAATTTTACTATGATGTGTTTTTTTTTAATTTGTAATTTCACTGTTTTTACAAATTTTAATATCTCATAAACTAAACATGATAGATAATTTCTAATGGCAGATTTGAAATCAGCAAAACAAATTTAAAGAATAATAAATATTTATTAATGTTGCAAAACACGTGTCTAACTTTTATATTTTTACTTCTAAACTTAACCTATATGCCTTCCTTGAGATTCTCCTACTGTTGTTTTTATGTGCCAAATTATTACTTGGAATAAAAATTATGAATATTTGGGACAATGTTGCAATAAAATAACAAACAAAAAAACGAGTTGATTGACATTAATTAAAATTACTATTATAAGTATCGAAGCAAATCTGTACTAAGTGTATAATTTTAAGAAATTGGTGGATTAATCCAAAAAAAATTTTAATCAACTTGATTTTCTTAATTTTATTTTGATTAGTAGTTCCTTGATTTGTAAATATGATACAGTGTATGAATAAATACTTATTATAGTAATTAAATTTAGTATAAAATTGATTTTCAATAAATTGGTATTGTAAATTTAACAGAGAAATTATAAAAAAATCCTCGAATGCAGGGAAACTTTAGATTACTATCGAGGTTCAACAAAGTTACACTAGCATGGGTACCGGGACACAACGGTGTCACTGTAAATGAGAATGCTGACATTCTAGCCAGGAAATGAGCAGATAACACCTATGTTGGACCAGAACCAGTGGTAGGACTCATTGAGCAATCGCTCAAAGCGCTACCCAAGAATTGGTGCAGAGGACAACACAGGAAAATCTGGAAGTACTTGGTAGTACCTAGACAATCTAAAATGTTTATCAAGACCCCTGGTCTACTGTTGGGTGATCTTAATAGTATGACTAAACATCAAATAAGCACCCTGACTGGTCTACTGACAGGACATGGTCACCTGCTTAAACATCTTAACGCAATGGGGGTATCGGAATCACCATTGTGCAGGAAGTGTGGAGTAGAAGAGGAAGACTCATTTCACATCATGTGCGAATGTGAAGCCTTGTCCACACTAAGATCAAACTAATTGAATAAACCTTTTCCTGAAGAAGAAGATATTAAAAATCTAAAACCCAGAGAGATACTTAATTTCGCCAGAAAGACAGGACTCTTTGGTATCTTTAGAGGTGACTTTATGGTTGGTAATGTATTAACACTTTGGTGATAACACTTAGATGGGTAAACCGAATCAAGACAATTCGGTATGAGATGCGCACAATGGTCCAACAGGTCTTAGTGCATGGACATTATGTCCACCTCGATAGTAACTAAAACTAAAACTTCTATGAGCTCAAACATGGCTTATATTTATTAGTTTTATGTGTATTTACATTAATATAATAATTTTTCTAAATTGAATATTTTTATTATTAATATTACAATACATTTAATTATTATGATACGAGTATATACACTTATTCGTTCATAGTAGTACATCGATTACCGATAATCAATGTATCCACATTGCGACGTGATGTATTTATTACATGTTTTGTTCTTATTTGTTCCGTATCATCGAGTAGTGGAAATTCTCAATAGATAATTTATTTTCAAAACTTAATTTTACAATCGATAGCATATCCACAAAATTCCAATTCCACAATATTATATCAATTATAACATTGCATTTACGATAAAACGATATTTTGAACATAAAAAATAAGTCGCGTGGGGGTAAATATACCCATTTTAATTTTGATGACTTTTTTAAGTCATACATTTTTTTCTCGAAGGTATTTATTTATGAAAATCGATTCAATATTACTATAAAAAGCATCTTCTAAATTTATATCAATGTACACCTTTTATGCAATATAATACAATAGTTTTTATTTATGTGGGGCAATGCTAGACCCCCACGCGACTGTTTAAGGGTTAAACTACCATATACCCATAGTAGGCGATGGCTGTTAAAGGAGACGCGGTTCACGGGCCTCTGTGTATCTCGAAGCGACGCGGAACGGTTATGGAAAAAAATTATTAAACTAAGTATTATCGTAAATTTTTTTGGACCCAATATTTTTTCTCTCTACAAAAATAAAAAATTCTTAGCAGTTTTTGAGAAAATTTTTGTCTTATCAAACTTGGAGAATCTTGCACACATAATTATAGACAGCCCAAGTAAAATATATTCGATTTTTTTTATAAACACTTAAAAAAATAATAAAATTTGATTTGACAGCCCTACAGTAGTTTTAAAAATTATGTTATTTACTTTAAAAAAATAACAATTTGCTTAGTTTAAAATAATGATTATTTAAAAATTATTTTTAAATAAATAAATAAACAACAATAAATTTAAGAATTATTAAATAAACATTCTTTCTTTTTCATAAAACATTATTTTCATAAAAAAATTGTATTTAATACATTAACTATTTTAATAAGTCTTTAATGTCGTTAAGTGAACTTTAGTATAAAGTATATAGTCAAAATTATTATTTAACTAAATATCATTTTAATATAATTAAGTTATGTTATTTCACACAGTTTTTAAAATCATTATAATTATTAATATCTTTGTTAAACCATTTAAATTGTCTAATGCAATAGAGACTGGTTATCCGTATGATGTAAAACCCGCTGACAGACTTCGATATTTAAAATGTTCATACTTATACAGTGGTTTAAATCATCTGGAACTATCTATATTAAATATAAAAATGTATTCAAATAACTTAAAATTACCTACAGCTGTCTTCAACTCATCTAAGTATGCTAATGTTGTTAGTAAACAACTAAGTTCGATTTATGGTATTAATGGTATCGAAATTGGTTCTTTGTGGCTATTAAATGCTTATACGAAAACTGTTCGTACTTATGTAAATCATCCTAAGATACCTAAATTGACAATAAATTACATAATACTTGAAAACATATTAAAAACCTGTGATTATATTGTAAGTAAGTATAAACAAGATATCATTATTAACAACTGTCCAAAAGAAAGTATTTATCATAACAAATGTAAGGATTTTGAAAAATCACATGTAGAGTACTCCATATTAATTAAACGAAATTGTGATAAAATGGAATTTATGGTAGACAGAAACCATATGTATACTAATCTTAAAGTGGATAATATAGACATGTTTAATAGTCACAATATATTGTTTAGAAAATTAGGAGAAAATTCGGAAACAATTAAAAATCTGCAGCTTACGTATAACGTCCAAGTGTTGTGGGAAAAATCTGACTCAAAAATAGTACACTACTATAACAAAATTCAAGAATTTACTTGGACTGAAGACCATCTATTACCATTCAAAGTGTACTATACATCCGTTTTTGATTTCTTACAAATTATCATGTTGAGGTTAACTCGTAAGCATTTCATGTATCTAATGCATCAAAAAGTTGAGTATATTCAAGATTTTACTGTACAATGGTTAGAAATACTTGAAGAATTTGTAAGTTTGTTGCATCCCGATAATGTTTCATACATTTTTACCATTAAATCAAACATTGACTACTTTGTTCGAGATTTGCCTAAGATAGGAACATCTGTTGATTTAGATAATCTTACATTCTATTTTAATAATTTTACGAATACATTAATTCAACAATTAGACATGATTGCATTCGGGCTTTGTAAAGATTTAGAATGTTATGCCAATACACCAATAGAATTGAATGGGAAAGAGCTTTTTACAATAAACCAAAATGATCAACGACGTTTCATGCAACACAACCTTAAATCTAATACAACAGTTGAAGTATTTAGTATTGAAAATACAAAAGAGTATATTAAATTTATTAAAACCATTTTTAATGGATTTGATTTTAATATTATTCGATCTTTCATGAATTATATTGACGAAATAAGTCAATACAAATTATTTTAATTCTTAATGTAGATATTATATAAGTATAATAATAAATGTTTTATTATAATAAAAATGTTAATTTAAAAGTTTTTCCTTCTGTCTTATACAGGATTGAACAATGTGACTGAAAATTTTTATGACTATTGATTCAATAATTAATTTGTTGTAGTTGACAAGTCCTCTTTAAATTAATTACATTTTTATACGTTGAATGGTTATATAACACAGATAGGTACAGCTCATACTGATAGCATTTAAATCAATCCTTTAAAAAAGCTTAATTAAAAAAAACCCCAGCACAGGGGGGTCGCGGCACAATGGTCACGTCACCACTGTGCCAAATAGTTGGATCATGTATAATGATATCTGACAGTGATTAAAATCACTATCAAAAAAAAAACGCTTCGATGCAAATCTTTAGATAGTGTTTAATTTTAAAAAATTGGTGGATTATTCCAAAAGCTACATGATCTGCTAGTTCATTATTAATTTCCTGATTAAGATAAAGTATGTCGAATTAAAAAGGGATTATTAAAAAATATTATTTCTAATAAAAATATTATGTTGATCCATACACTTTTCAATATGTTATAGCATTATAAAGTTAAAAATATAAAAAATAAAATTGAGAATTTTCAAACGAAAATAGCATTCGGTAGCCATTTTAAATTTAAAAAAATTTATTGACATTAAGTAATTAGTTAAATAGTTTATCATATTAATAATAACTTTTTTTTTAATCTTAAAATCATACATATTAAATTTCATTACTATTAATACATATTTTCTTTCATTTGATTCGTCTGTGATAGTATTTTCGTAAATTTTTATTATCGTGAGTTCTAGAACTAGAATTAATGTTTTTTAATGGGGTAATGAATGTAGCCAAATTACTGAGGAAGGATTATTGTATACAGCTGAAGAGAGTTGATTAGCCAAAGAAGTGATCCAGGATTTCTCAGCAGTTTGAGCATAGGAGTTAGTGGACATGTATTCGAGAAACGAACCATTGGGGGAAGACCAATCATTACTATTATTAGAGACAAAATGCGGGTTCATAGTTTGGACACTGCTATTCACATATATAGGGTGATTTTTTTATCATAACCCACTCAATTACTTGCAGAATAATAATAATTTAAACATTTTTTTTTTATTATCTTTAGTTACACATTATTCTTAAATTTTTAACTATGTAATACTTTTTATATAACAATTCTGTGTACCTGCTAATATCGATTTTATGTACATAAAATTAACTTTAATTTGATATATGTTTGAAGGACGCAGTATTTCCGGAACATTTTCAAAAATTAAGTTGAAAAAGTTAATTTTTGTAAAAAAGTTGCTATTTTAAATCCCCCTTAATGAGCAGGTTAAGTGATAGATTTTCAAAATATGATATCAAATGAAAAGTAAATATCTAAAATTTTGATTTGTTGATTTTTCAAAAAGATATGGACGTTTTAAGAAAAAAAAGTGAAAAAATTTCGAAAGTTAGCGATTTTTAAATTTGTAAGTTTTTTGTATATTTCCCGCATTTGCAGGGGACGAGGGAATTTTTTTCAATTCTTAAGGGTAATGTCTTCAACTAGATATGATTTGTGATCTTTTGACGTATTTTTGAAAGAAATCGGTCCAGTGAGAGCAGAGAAAAAGTGGTAACAGACATAAAAAAAAAACACATCATAAAAATTAATACCTTCTCCGCTTCGCATCGAAGCTAAAAACGTTAAGATTACCACCGCCTGGATTCTGTAGACTACTGTCAATTTGATTTTTTTTGTACGTTGTTTTTTTTTTTTGTATAAAATAAACTTCGAGAGTTCATGAAGAGGACGAACAATACTTGAGATTAAATAAAGTTATAAATATAATATAAAATACAAGTATTAATCATAAAAATAACTTTAATAACTTTTTATCAACATAAAACATATCAAGTATCAAAAACAAAACTTTCGTTTTTAAAGGGCCATAAAAACCCACATCTAGGTGTTGTTATCGGTGGCTAGTATGAGGTGGTAATCCGAACTTAATAATTCCATTTTCCTTACAAAAATTGAATATCTTCAATGATTACATGAGAGGAATGGTTGTCCATGAGAAGAAAAAGTGGATATGTAATACTTGGCCGAGCATTTGATGCAAATGGTTAACAAAATTGGTAGCTGTCATCCATCTTTAAATTATGGTACTGCTACTGAGCTCAAAGGGGCGCAACTTCTAAAAATCTTGAATTTATTCTCACCTTAGGATAGATGAAAAATGGAGATATGTAATTTCCAGTAGCACTCATGGCGCACACACACGTGATTGTGAACTATTGCACAAGTCGTGCTGATTCAGCACATAGCTGACCACTCGACTTGTGCATATTCGAGTCAAATATTTTATATAACAATCAGTCGTAGTCTAGTCGCCATACTATTAATTGTATAGATAATTATTACGATTCATCTATGTCAATAACAATAAACCAGTAATAAATATTAAGTACTAAAGTTATTTCTTAAACCATTTTCAATAAGTTTAAGAACCAACCTACAATACTTCAGGTTAATTACGTCAATTGATTTAATCTTAAAATCTTAGTAAACAGTGCCAGATTTAGACATTTGGGAAGCTGGGGTAAACAATATTTGAAGGCTCACACTTTATAATAAAATAAAAATGGTATATTATAGTCAATTGGTCTTTGAAACATATATAAATATATATATATATATATACAGGGTGATTTTTTTATCATAACCCACTTAATTACTTACAGAATAATAATAATTAAAAATTTTTTTTTTATTATTATCTTTAGTTACACATTATGCTTGAATTATTAACTATGTAATACTTTTTAAGTTCATCCCTTATGCCTGGTAAAGATGTCAACTTTGTTTTTTTCAATGGTAACACATATTTTTAATTTAATAAAATGTTTGAGTATTTAATTCATTAATAAATGGCATTTGAATTTTTAATATAACTTTATTAGCTTATTAGATATAAACATTTAAAGTTTCAAAATTTTGAGTTAATATACATGTATAATACACATGGGATTGTAAATACAGGTAGTTAATTGGATTTTTATGACATTGCTGTCTCAGTCACGGATTGTTTATTATCAATTATGATTATCAATAGATATACTTTCTGTATTGTCAGTTAGTGTATTTATAAACTCACAACAATATACCTTACTATCATTGATAATAACAATGCTGTGTACCTGCTAATATTGATGTCATAAAAAATCAATTAGCTACCTATATTTGTAATCCCTTGTGTATTATATCTGTATATATACTAAAAAATTTGTAACTTTAAATGATTATATCTAATAAACGAATTAAGTTACATTAAAAATTCAAATGCCATTTACTATTAAATTAAAAACTCAAACATTTTATTAAATTAAAAATATGTGTTACCATTTAAAAAAACAAAGTTGNTATAAATATGTGTAACCATTTAAAAAAACAAAGCTGATATCTTTACCAGGCATAAGGGATGAACATAAAAAGTATAACATAGTTAATAATTCAAGAATAATGTGTAACTAAAGATAATAAAAAAAAAAAATTTTTTAATTTTTATTATTCTGTAAGTAATTGAGTGGGTTATGATAAAAAAATCACCCTGTATAGGGTCAAGTGGCGTAAATGGAAATTGGGACAAAAAGAAAAAAATATTATTTAAAATAAATTATTAGTGATTATAGAATTTGGTATCATTATAACCACAGTACACATAAAGTATAATAGTGTGCAATGATAAAAATATGGAAAATTTGAGGATATGTATAAATTGTTATCACTCGAAAAAGTGTTTATGATTATTTTAGATTATATTTTCTGCTCAACGGCTTTTGAGAAGGGCATCTTCATCAAAAACATAAGTAGAACAGTACAGTTTGAACTAAATTGTCATTTCATA